ATCCGTAAGGGATGTACACTGTTCCCTGTCGGTGCCAGAGGTACATGTGTAAATGGAGACTAGATGGACACATTGGATCGGGAAGACCGTTTGCATCTTACTACGGTAGAACAGATGCTAACTTTTACACTACTTGCGTTATAGGCGAAGCCGTGGCCTTCGGAGTGGAGAGACGAAGCGCTGGCTGGGCTTCAGACATGGAAGATCGTCTACCAGGACCTGAGAAGCGGGAGTCGCGAACTCTAGCCAGTGCTCGCACAGTTATGGGATTCTAGTTGCCTACCATTTTAAGATTGACGCGAGCTTTGGCGCAGAGGTATAGGAGATAAGATGAAGAATTACAAGTGAGAGTATATAGTAGAATCCCTACCAAGTCGTCGATGACAGCGGCGATGAACTCTAACTAGAAACATATGCGGACTTTAAGTGTTATAGTAAGAATAGGAGAATATACATCTAGACCAAGTCGTATCTAAAGCGAAATTGACTTTGACGAAAGATTGTACGGGCTACTAGATCCTCTCCTCTAGTATACACACCCTTTAAGAAAGATAGCTACTTAAATAGAAATGCTACCTTAGCCGTGTGGACGAAATTGAAGGGATGTTCCGCGATGTTTATCTACGCATCTTAGGAACTAGAATCCTTGAACAAGAATTAACCTAGATAGATATGCAAAGCTCTAGGAATGTACTAACTAGAAATATAACTAGCCTATTGATTATTCCATCGATACTTGGTCGGACGAAGAGGTACCATTCCATTATAGTTACCCTAGGACTGCTACCGCTGTTCGTATATATGACTTTAAATGTTCTCTTCGTTATATAATCGAGGTTAAGATTAAGTTTCGATTCCGACGGAAGTTTAGCGGTAAGCTTGGAGAATTAATAGTATATATAATTTTCTATCTGGCAGGAGAATGTCAATTCATTACCGAACCTACATTGTAGATCTCTTGTCCGCTGGATGAGACTTCGATAGCATGCAAACTTCTAACATGAAATGTAGACGAGTCCTATAAAGATTGTCATGCGGAGTGGGGGTTTAAATGCCAAAGCCTTTGTTAAACCATTTAATAATGTTATTAATAATTTTATCGATGTTTGTAAGAAACGAAAAATTAGTAGCGTTCATTCTCGTCTCCAATTTTCTTAAGATTAGCCATTATATCTTACTAAATCCACGAACAGTACGATAATGAGAGAGAGCGTGTCTACTTTAGGACTTGGTCTCCTCCTATCACGACTTCTAGAGTAGTATAGCGACTCGACTAAAGCCTTCTCTATGCGTTTACAACCTCCGTACTAGTATTGAACTTGAATCTAGTTACCTAAAGATTGCTATTCGGGCCAAAAAGAAGGATTTCTATCAGCGATATATCTCCATGTGTAATACTATTCGAGTGTAAGTACTCAATTGCCTCTTCCATATATCCCGGGTTATTAATAGAGAGTTTGGTGCATGAAGTGAAGTTAGGAAGAGCAGGCCTAGATACTTTTAACCATTCAGTACATGTAAGGCTGTTTTGGGCTTGAATTACAACAGGCGAGACCAAAAATGTATCCATAGCCGTTAAAACTACTGTTAGGGTACATGCCCCTGCGGGATGGAGCAAGGATGTCGGTCCCCTCCCTTACCCTTTCGATGTAAGCCGCATCGATTGGTAGTAGTTTCTTGAGATTAGCGATCCGACAGACCACCCACCCACTCCATCAGTCATCGCTAACTATGTGTTTACTAAATACCGCATCTTCGAGGAGTTTTACACACTAATGGAAATCTATGGAAAGGTTCTAAAGCCTCGAATGCACGGGAGCTCCATGAGGCATGTATGGCTGGTAATTTATTTCGATCTGCAAGTGATTATGTCCGGATAGGGGAGCGATAGAAGTCGTTAATAAGGAATTCTTTTCCTTTATTAGAGGAAGTAATGGATCCGGAGCTACGGTAAGAGGTGTGTTAGAAACGGATTAAGACTATATACCTTTGCCAATACTATTGTCGAAACTTTGGGTGCTTGTTAGATTCGCTAAGTAATAGTATGCTATTTAGATGCGAATGTAGGCTAGTAGCAAGACATAAAAGAATGAGTTTCAAGCCACCTAGACGTGCAATTTTATAACTAGAGATGGTCGTCTTATCGCCGCATCTTCTATAAGCTAGATGAACGAAAAGCGACGAATGAGTTAGATTAAGAATTGCGTTAGGAAGTATACATGACTAGATCAAAGGGTAGACGTACCTAGCGCTTTCTGGTACTAGATGGGCATGGAAGCCATATAATCATAGAGTTCCTTAAATTCTACCGTGTGAAGCTACGTAGAGAATGGAAAAACCGTAGACAATGAAAGTACCGTAGACAATGAAAGCACCATAGACAATGAAAGCACCGTAGACAATGGAAGAACCGTGTATAATAGAAGTACCGTAGACAATAGAACGCGTTACTAAGAAAGCTACTTAGAAAGAGTAAGTTAGTAAGTAGTATTAAAAATAGATGATATACTTACAAATATTTAATTTATATTAATTATAGAAGTATAGAGAAGAGAGAGTAAGAAACTTAATAACTTACTCTAATAGCTATTTAACTGAAGAACTACTAGTTTAAATTAGTAAACGGGTACGTCTTATATCTTTCTTTCTCTTAATAAGTAGTATATACTATTAGAAGTAGAGGTCTTAGAAGTATCTACTTTCTAATTAGAACCCGTAGTTCTCTTTTTAAGTGTTAAGAACTTCTAGCTCGGATCTAAGGACCATGAGCCTGATTTGAAAGGTCAACCAAGGCTCATAACTTCACCAAGGATTCCACGTACCAGACTCTCTAGCCTGCCTGTTAAAAACCTCACAACGTAGCTTCGGATTGCTGCCACGGGCGATTCTAGAACATTATACCACTGAGAATATGTTAGAGCGGAAGGACAAGAGACCATGGCCAGGAGGTGTGGCGTATCCGGTTTCGTCATCTAAGAATGGACGTATACGTAGATGTGGACTAAGGAAGCTAGACGTTACCATCCAAGGCTCACTCAACTCTGCCATCTCCTCATGCAACAGCTCCGAGTCCAGCAACCAAATTGATATAAGCGACTGCGACTGCAAACTCGAAGCTGAACCACTTGAAAGCACTTCTCTACTCCCTGTGGCTCCAGGTCCCCTTCCACTATCAAGAGACAGTAGTATAAGTAGCCTTGACAGCTGGACGATGAATAATACTAACCGAGAATCATGGGATAGAAACCCTTTAGCTCGCAATATGCCTAGGTCTCCTTCCTAGAAGTCCAACAAAAAGGGTTCCTTAAACCCTGTTTATACTTTCACACAACGGATTTTCAGGACTGTTCCCTTTCGTCTTGCATCCTAGCTTCTTCTTAGACCAAGACTAGTAAAGTTTTCGCTAGTCTTAGTCTTCCATGTAGCAAGTAACAAGTGAAGACACCGTTACAGATATCTAAAGCGAAAGAACAGGATGGTAAGGGAGATCTCCTAGCATAGTCACCGAGGATATATCCTGACGATCGCCCAGACCGAACCAAGACTACTTCACTAGATATCAATATCAACCCAGGCATGAAGACCACGAGCACTGATAATGAGACCTCCACTTGGACGCTGACTGAAGCGTCAGTCCGTAGTGTTAAAGCATCTCCTTCACTTTGCTCATCCGGTCACTCCTCAAAGTAGAGTCCCGGCTCTGTCTGTTCCGAATTCCAGGCCCAAAGAGAGGACCGGCCTTGAGAGTTGAACACTCGAAGGCAGAGCACCCCTGAGCTTGATGAATGGCGGTTCCGTTTAAGAAATTATGCTCCTGAACGGCCAACCTAAGTAGTAACAATGGACACTTCAATTTATGGCACAGAGGTGTAGAGATCTTCTTATTCTAGGTGGATCTATAGCGCTTTCCGCCGCGTTACCGCGATCTTACGTGAGGATAGGCTATTCAACGATAGAGTTGTATGATTCGACCCTAACGTGGACACTGCCTAAGTAGGTGATATGATGCTTCCTGAGCGGATAGTAAGAGCCCCAAGCCGTTAGATCTGCAGGAACGCAAGAAGAGGAAATACATATATTAAGCAGCACGTCTTCGATCCGAAACCTAGGCTTCCTAGCTTCAGTCCTGTAAGAAGGGTATTCTAGGATGCTCTCGAGGAGGTGCTCAAGGAGGATTTAGAGAACATGAATGATGAATTGCGCGATCCGATGATCCTAAGATCAGGCTGAGCGCAGGAACCCATAGTAAAAGGACCAGTATAGACGAGAAGCGCACGATCGCCGAAGCGTTACAAGCAGGAATAGTAAAAGAATAGCAAGATACTACTGGTAATAAGTACTATATGCAGGAGGACAGCAGCAGCGAGTAAGATGTCGGAAATAGTTCCAAAGTCACAAACCTAACAACAGCTCGGATAAACATAAATACAAGATACCTATCGTTCCTAGTGTCGAGAGCTCTAGTGATATGCTTCCAACTGGTCCTAGACTTCGCCCATTCACTTAATACCCATTCTTACGTGTCTCGGACGTCGTCATTCCGCCTCGCCCAAGACACACAACAAGACTAACATTAAAAATGACATTCATATTCGGCACAATCCCACGCAGCGTCTCGTACATGAATTCTGGTCTTTGCCAGTGGTATATACCAGGAGCGAGCAGCGGTTGCCCAGAACCAGTGTTGTAAAACACATAGTTGGGCATCTCTCGCCCCCTCGTGCTCATGCCGCCTTTCCAGCACCTATTCTGCTATGCTATCTTTGGCATGAGGTTATCCCTTAATTAGCCGCCCATTAGTAGGCTTCTCCAAAGCCTCGCACTGTATTCAGCCAGTGTGGTTTACCAACGTTGATGCTGTCTGTGCAAAACCTTAACACTGTGCTTCCTTCAGCATCAGCACCGGAAGCTAATGGAAAGGCGTGATAATGAGCCTAGGCACTGCATAGGAGCCATTGATCCTATGAAATCGAACCGAAACTTTGGTAATTCAATCACGTAGCCGAATATCATGCCTGCCTGCATATCTACGACATCTATCGTACCATGACTACTCATAGCATTTGCCGTCCTAGAGCTCGTGCAACCTGGCGCTCACGCCTAACACCTATGATCTCCACCATGGTTTGCTTATCAACTTTCGGGGCCGTCAGTTCAGGTGTCTGCGACACGAGCCGGGCTCGCTTGGCGACCTCAACACGCATGTCCCTCAGTTCCTCCTTGACAACCCTCCAGTCCACCCTACACACCTCTAGCTCACCTACACTGCTACTATGGGCCTGTGGCTCCCCGACATGCTTTCCCATCTCCATGATATAGTCTGACACCATCTTCTTCTCTAGGTCCTCAACGCGAATGAAATTAGAGGGATATTCGCAGTAGATCCAGCCAGCCCCATCTGGGCAAGAGAACGAAGACGGGGTCCATTTCAGGTTTGCCATAGAGGTCAGACCTTTGGGGATAGACAGGAGTTTCGGTTTGCTGGTGTTCATATTGGCCGGTGCTGGCAGGGTGCGACGCTTAGCTGAGACTGTGCTCAACATGTCATTTGGCGGAGTCATGCGCTTGCGCACAGCTGGCTGGGGTTGCTTTTGTGGCTCCTGGTCATCGTCGCCTAGCTGGTCGATCAGCCTCTGCCTCTTTCGTGGCTCTTCCACTGTCTGATGGAGATCTGGCTTCCCCGCCTTCGGCGTTTTCTGTTTCTCTCCTGATCCACACTGGTTGCCTGGCTTTTCCGTATTCCGTACAACTTCCAGCTTATCTCGTTTCGGCTCGATCTTAGGGTTTCCTGCCACCTTATCAAGCCGCCTCAAAACCATATCCAGCTCATCGGCCTGAATCTCCAGCTGCTTGGCCATTTTCCCAACCGCTACTTCAAGAGCAGCAATGCGAGCATCTTGGTTCATGTCTAAAAGGACTCTAGATTAGCTAGGAGTGCACGGAGTGGATGGCATGCCGTACGGGTGCTTTGGCTCGTGGTGACTTGGTCGGGACGTGACGCCATCTGGTGTTTCGCAAAGGCTGTTTGAACGTGTTAGACGTTTCCAGAGACGACGAAAAGAGTGAGATACCCGTGGCTTCTGCGGCTGCTCTATCCGCCCATTGTACACTTCGCTGCGTCTGCGATTTGTCGCGTGTGTCGTCGTCGTCGTCGTCACCTGCAGCTCCATTCGGGGACGTGACTGGCGACTTAGGTATCTCCGCCATAACAATATCCAGAGATTCTAATAAGTTTTGATGCGATGGATGAGAGTGTCCAAATTCAGGCGTGTATTTGATATATCGCGGCGCGTCGCGTCGCGTCGAGGAGTTCCCATCGTTATATCCATGCGTATCATTCATTCTAGCGTGCCTGGTCTTACGCATCCTTCGCTTGTCTAGATTAGAATTCTATAATCAGCTATACTGAAACAAGAACATCACTCGAATAAATTTGATTACATATATTACGATTATCGAAAGTACTTCTTTAAAGTCTAAAGCACGCATTTACGTGCTGTGTCTGTCTATACGTCAACTCCGCCACTCCCAAAGTCGATAAGAGATTGCATCGATATGTCTTACTTAATGTATTTACATTACGATCGGACATTACAGGTCCCGAGTAGCACTTGATCTAGGCATGGCAAAACATGTTGCTATCCAGGTATCGTTATACTTGGTCAGGTCTATACCAGACCGTACGTTCCTGAATCCTCTGCTTCGATACCGTAAGAGTTGCTACGAGCTCTTAGCGTTTATCCTGCCTACCCTATTGTGCATATGACCTAAAATGGTCTTTAAGCTCTATGCCTCCATCATTATCGACAGGCCGAGCTTCGTGCTTATGTTCCGTCCTGCTGAGAGCTGGAATGCAGGCGAAGAACTAGCATTTTGTGAAGTTGAAAGATATCCGAATGTTATGCACTCTTCAGTAGTTTGCCTTGCTAGTCGGCATCTTGTCTTAATCGTACTAATACCAGCTAGCTCTACCCTTTGTTTAGGTCATAGTTCTGAAGGTTATTCTGCTGGACAGTACAGTATGATTATAAAGAATGACTCCGACAGGGGCAGGGTGCCTCTACGGAGCAGAGACGATATGGAGCAGGCGAATTCGCGGTCTTCGCGCAATGTCTATTCTCGAGGATGTTCTTCCAGCACAGGTCAAGATATGCTTTCCAAGATGTTTTTTTTAAATGCTTCTCTAGAGACTTCTGAGAATACCTCTGAGGCCAGAGAGACATGGTTGCGAGAGCGTCCTACAGTGATAGAGTACCAGGATACATTGATGAAAAGACTCGACGCCCAGAGAGAAGAGCACGGAGAACTCAACTGGTATAGCCAATGTCATATATGATAGCTACAGTGTATTGCGGTAGGAGACGAAAATTCCATGCGATGGACATGCATGATAGTACTAGCCATGCATTTAACTAGCCAGGCTCCCGCGCTCATTCATGGTTCAAAGAAGATGATCTACATGAGCTTTCCCTAAGCTGAGTCGCCCTTCACGTAGTATCATCGAGTCTAGACTTTCGCAAGTGTCTGTACAGCAAGCTTGACTCATTGCAATCCGGATGTTATTAGACGACTAATGCCAATTGGCCCATCTCTTTCTGACCAGACGCTTCGGCGACTTATCTGTTCTTCAGTACCTTGTACGCTACATATTCTCCATCCGAATGCAAGTTATTATATGGAGAGGGAGGAGCTGTGGTTTATGTCGGATGAAGCATGAAAAGACGTTCAGCGCGTCGAATCGAAAATGGAAAGAGGTATATAGTGTGTTGGTTGGCGAAGACGAAGAGTTTGGCGTAGAAACGATTCTTGCAAGCATAAGAGTGCACTGACTCGAAGTTTGCCGCCGTGAGCTGCTGTCAGCATCAGGAATTTGAAGTTGAGCAGACGCATACGTTCATAACATATCATCCTTCGGATAACAGCAAGGGAATCTGCCATCGTATAGACGATTCGGATCAGCATGTAATTAGAGGAACGCGAGGCGTGGAGTGTGTCTGCTGCTGCAGCCAACGAAAATGGTCTGAAAGACTGATTCAATAGTTGTGTGTACATTGAGATTACCTAGGCAAGTTGAGTAGAGCCTGGAATACGTCGGATGCCTAAGGCTGCAACTATAAGCGCGTTATCTACGCGTTAGGAACCACACATAGTTGCGCTGCGATAGATTGATCTACTCGTCTGAATTACTCTTCCCTGGTCCACTCCTTGGGTCGCCCATGCATTCTCGCATTGCGCCACGTTCCTCTGGTGGCCTATGGCGCGCCCTCGACGTAAACGCCTTGCTCTATCAAAGCGCAGTAAGCTAACCTCCAATTCGAGGTCTTTACCCCATCACGACTCGGAAGAAGACAGCGAGCTCTCCAGCACCGATAGTAGCTCAGTCCATGGAGGAACGGAGATCACAGGCTTATCCGAGACTGACCCCGATTCCGGGAATGACAGTGGTGAAAATGACAATGAAGAGGATGAAGGCGACGGAGCGGATATAACTGATGGTTTGAATGGATCTCGGACAATGGCCAGTGCAAACAACGACGAGGATTACGACCAAGATGAAGAAGCAGAAGTGAGACCGCCTGCATCGACCGCCATCATGGTGCCGGATGAGGAGTGGTACAAGAACAACCCCAAGAGGACACCAGGGAACTACCACTACCCGAAAGAGATGATTCTTCATGGCCTACAGATCACCGAACAGCAACTACACAAGTTTCATATAAAGGCGGCGAGTATATTGAAGGAAGATCCCAATGCACAAGCCAATTATGTTACCGCCGAAGAGACTATTATGAGACGGCTTCCAAGGTCATTCAGAAAAGTGGCGTATCAGAATCAATGGGCGCATAGCGCGATTCAGAAGTGGCTTCGGCACACAGTCAAGAGAATTTTAAATCCAAGGTTTTTTCGACCGATGGGATCAAAGACAAAGAACGGCTCTGGCACCAAGGCCGTCGCGAATTCGGTGAGCCTCACATACAAGTGTTTCGTCGCTTGCTGACATCATGAGTTAGAGGAAGAGACGGCGCACGCAAAGCCCAGCCTTGTCAGAGCAGATACCAGGAACACGCCGAAGTCGTGGCGCTCGCCCGCAAACATCGCCTGGCAATCACCAAACCAGGAATCGAGAACGGCATTCGAGAGCCCACACCGAACAGCCACAAGTCGCCCCGCCAGTGAATTCGAGCCGAGTCGCGCGTCAGAATGTAAGAAATAGTCGCCATGAAAACGACCCAAGCATCATCCAACCCGGTCGCGCCAGAGCTGATGATGAACAGAACAGCGCACGTGACAGCAACGACTCCGAGGGGGAGGAAGAAGAAGAAGAAGAAGAAGAGATCGAGAGAATGCGCCGCCAGAACAGTCAGACTGCGTGGCACGATTCCATGCCAGATGTGACTGGACTATCATCTCCTATGTTGCTCACCGATGTGGAGGATAACCCAGGTATTGGACTTCCGCTGGAACTACCGCCCATCGTTGAAGACATAACGGAGCCAAATATAGATGCAGGAGAGACAGCAAAGAGAAGTGCGACTGCTCCAGTGCAATGCCGGTCGCTTGCGATATCTAGCAAAGATACGTCCGAGTATAACATTACTGCTCAGTTTCAAGTTCTTAAAAACCTCGGCGACACCATCGCTAGTCGCGCAAAAGAGCATCTTGATTTCTCTAACTCCCACCTTGCCACTTACATAACGAAGAAGGCAGACCTCGCCACATTAAACATCAGCCTCCGGGCGAAAACGAGTGAACTCGAACAACTGCCGACGGTCGATGGACTACTAACTGAAGGAGACATGTTTGCTAACAAGTCCGCCTCTGTCAGCCTTTTTTCGCAATACGCCAAGGAAATGGGAGATCTGTTACAAAAAATGAGGCAAACGACTCGCGTAGAGGAGAAATCTCTCAACCATCGGATCAATACGCTCAAAGTCGAGTTATCGGACTGCCAAACAAATCTCAAATTGGCCGGTACATTCGCGTTACAAAGCGTGGACGATGCACGCCGAGAAATCAGCGAGCTTGAGGCCAGCGCTTGTGCAGCAGAGAAACTTGTGGAGCACTTCCGCAAGAATGCTCGCGTGAACAGAGATAGACTTATGGCGTTAGAAGTAACGCCTGAGCTCGCAGAGGCGAAAGCTGCGACATCCGAAACCTGAAATTCGTTGTTCGCCCGGATACTTCTTTGTTACGATCATTTTCTCAACCTCCTTTATCTAGTAATACTTCTTATATACTTGGGAGCTCTGCCCATCAGAGTGTTGGCCGATATTTTCTTTTCTTTCCTATGTAACATTGCCATGTTCGTGCACGTTAATCATTGAACTTGGCTTTCAAGAGATAATACAGTTGGAGAATTGCCGGTGATTCTGGCTTGAATAATAAATAAGCGGTAGGCGTGGCCACGGCATGCGTCCCTCCCTCAGTAAGTACTCTAGCCACCGTATAGATGTACTAAGATGATATAACGGCAGAGAGATGGCACAATTGCATTATGGCTGCAGCTAACGTTAGTAATCTACGCACTTATACATAATAGAACCCCAACTCAATAGATCAAAACACATGTGCCCAATATTTAAAAGTAGCACTGTAAAGTACACACCCGTAGTGTTGGTAGTACGTATAGAAGGAAAATCTGCCCACTGCCACCAGTTTATGAAGTGATTATCCACCGGCCTCCTTGTAGGTAGTGTCGATAGCACAGCAAAGCAGAGCCATGTCATCAAGTCTCCTCAACAGCAGTAACGGTCGCCGCCGTTTTCGCGGCCAGACGCGCCGAACGACGAAGGGGTGCATGAACAGTATTGATACTACAAGTCCCGACCATCACAGGAGCCAGGTTCGATGAAGTAAGCGGAGACTGGGACTTCGAGGAACCATTACCATTAGTGGCAGTACCGCTCTGCTTCTTCAAGGACAACCCAGTGGTGTCATGAGTGGTCAATTTGGTACCACGACTGGTGGTGCTGATGCGGGACTTGCTCGCAATCGAGGGGATTTTGTCGCATTTCGTCGTAGGAGGAACGGCGACAGAGTCGTTAATGTTAACAGCGCTGGATCTCTTAGGCTGGATGCGGAGGCTAGCGGGAGTGATAACAATCTCTGTACATAGATCCGGTGCAATGGCGCGGGCCATCTGTGGCGTTGAATCCGACTGGTGTCTATCCTTCCTTGCTGAGCGGGAGAGTCCGGCGGTGTTGAGTTTGACATGCTCACGCAAATTCGTGCTATGACTCGCAATAGTAGATTCACCTCCAGCTGATCCAGCGACGTTGATGACACCATCATGTTCAAGCTGAACTTGCTCGAGACGATTCGCAAGCCGGATAGCATGTCTATCATGGAGATTCACCTTATGAAGGGCTCCGAGGTTAGGGCTAGATTGCGGCTAGGTATAGACTGTAAGTAAGGGTACGGCGAGCTTGGATCCATTAATACATACCTGGGGTGCCCTGATGAGTGGTACATAGTCAGTCTCATCAATAGTCTTATTGTCACTGGTGTGAGAGGATGGGGACAACAGTGCAACGGAGTTTGCTGAACGCGTCAATGGCCTGCCGGAAGGAGAGAAGCGAATGCCCAGATATTGCTTCTCCCGCCGTTGATAAATCTTGCTAGACATGGTAGAGCACATGTAGACAGTAGAAAGAAGGACGCCAAAGGCTGCTGGGAAGGATTAAGAGAGACGAGGGAATAGTAATCGGCAAGACTAATGAGGTACTTATAATAACAGAAGTAGGTGAATGAACGAGCCAGGGGAGAACCTACTTGCATAGAAACAGCCCTTTGCTTGTCAGACAAAACGGGCTTGACACACAGCTTGACCGGTTCGTGGGATGTTTGTTGTCTCAGCAGCGAACTTGTGTATTGGCGCCAATAAAATACATCGAAATGGCAGAACGTACTAGAGAACATAGCTCCGGAGGACTGTGTTGCATGAAACAACTTGGGCGACGATAGCCAGAAGGGTGGAGGTCAATTGAGGCCTGCCTGCGATTGTTTGCCCGATGCATTGAATCGGTGGCAAAGCTCAGATCCATAAGATCAAAGTAGGCATGGGAAGCGCAGCCACCAACTACCCCCAGTTTGTTCTTTGATATGCATTAACGAGGCAGTTCAACCAAAGCTGTCGCCGCGCGCACGCTTCTTCGGTGGTGACTCTGAAGTCATTAGGCACCGCCGCTGGGATCGGCTAAAAAGGACGCGGGATCTCTCCTAGCCCTTGTGTAGATGGCGAAAATTCGTTCGTGAGCGATGGTGTAGACTTCAATACTTGGCTTTGAGATGTGATCGCAGGTCTGGACATACCAGTGTCGAGCTGTTTCTGGAGCGTGGCTCTGATCAAAGCGAGGCGCTCGCCTGTCGCGTAACCAGCCACATTCCGCAAGTACGATCTAAACTTTCGTACATCATCTTCTTCTCGCAAATGTCCGCGGAGTATAACCTCCATACGGTACCTGAGAGAGTCAGGCGAACCCTCACGCCAATGTATCCACATATCGAAGCTGTTGGTATCACACGTCAAGCTAAAGTGGAAGGCTTCGGCTGCTGTTGGCATGTACCCTGTGCCACCGTTGAAGGCGTGTATGTACCTGACAACGGCAGCTCCGTCTCTTGCGCCTCGTAGTCTTGCAACAGAGTGTCCCTCGGTGCTAGTGAACTTCTTCTTCTACTGAACTGTAAAGAACGGAAAATGGACCGAATTCGTCAGCGCATCTGATAGCTCTACTGACTGTATTAGTACTGTTCTTTGAATCTAAGGGAATCAAACAAACCGATGGAACAAGGGCTCCTCCGCTAGGCTAATTGAGGGCTCCGTCATTGCCTCCATGGCTGTCTCAGTGGTGGCATATCCGAGCACCTGGTCTGGATGAGGTTCTGACAGTAGTCCGCAAGCGACTCTAGTCTCGGGCCTTGATGAAGGCTAAGTTCATTGCCATATCAATGCCAGGCTCTTCTGGTAGTTCGATGATGTCCTTCAAGCCTTGGATTGCGCCTTGTTCCGTTCGCGTCTCTGCCCTCCGGCGGACCCTCTCGATTTGTTCTGGGGTTCTAGTAGACGGCGATGTTTTCAGTCTCTGAATATGCTCCACGTGTTGTTTGACCGCAGGCGGCCAATCCTGCGAACTTCGATCTATTGTTATGCCATACTAAGTAAGTCTAGATTTATCATCGTATTTAGATCGAGGATTACGAGTGAACCTGGATTTAGTATAACTACTTAATATATAAGAATTAAGTAGAATATAGTATATAGAACTTAGAGATAGATAAGCTATATTATAGTCTAATATAGCTTATCTATTTACTATTTATTTATATCTTATTAATACTTACTATAATATCTACTTAATCTTATTAAAGCGCCTTAAATATTCTTATCTATTAGAAAGCTAAAATACTTCTATATTATAGACTACTTTAGAAATAAGCCGCTTCTACTTCTTAGAGTATATAGATATATTATACTAGTTTAGAGTATTAGAGCTTTCTCTAGTACTTAGTTCTATCTATAATTACTAGATCTAAGTTTCTTCTCTTTTCTTCTAGCTTTATAATTAATTTTAGATATATATATATATCTATTAATAGTAGTCTATAGTAATTAGTATTATTAGTTATAATTAAGATAGAAGAATCTAGAAGCCGTTAAAGTAACTAGATAGATAAATAGCTAAGCATTTAAATACGGAAGATAGGGACCCATACTACACTATGCTAGTGTACCGTATGCCCGCCTAGATTCCAATCATACTTCCGTTACCCCACTACTTACCCGCACGCTACGCCACTTCTATATGCACGCTAAAGTACCGCACGGCATTTTAGGTCCACTATCACGAGCATCTCCATTCTATGACATGGATACGCATATATCCATATACAAGCCGCAAAGCTACTAACACCTATGGCACTTATTTACTAACGTTTGAGTGCTAAGCTACGTAGAGCCTTAGGAACCTAAAGCATGACTATACATACTACCATGACCATGCCCAAGTTTATCTATGTGCAGAATCAGGCTTGACATTGCCGGTGGGTACGGGATAGTATAAGTATAAGTATACCCTTAATAGTTTCATGGTTCTAAATGACCATAGCTTGACGAGCACGCCACGTACATCTAGAGGACAGGGAACCAGCTGCAAGCCACCATGAGAACATCGTCCAGTTAGACTTCGTCCGGCAATCGCGATCGTGGGAGAAGTCAGGAATCGAGAATTCTTGTAGAAAGTCCATAATGCAGGCCGGTGAACACGGGAATGCCAGTTGGGGGTAGTTGATTGCGCGAATTTCGGTGAAGGCATGTCTCATCAGACAGATGGTCGACCGGAAAGCAGGGCTTCTGTATGGCTTGAGTGATTGCATGTATGCGAAGCTCGTAACGAATGGGACAGGTGTGCAATATTTAGATATTCGATTTGCGGACCAAGAGAACCGTTGCCTCGCCTGGTTTTCCTGGCTCCACACCAAGTCCCATTTATTAAGCTACCGTTGGTTGTGAAACAGCATAGAGCCCGACAGAACTTGCAGACGGGTAAGGTAACGTTAAGAAGGACCCTGTCAATATATGCCAGCGGGATACTTCGTCTAGGGAGACAACAGAAGCCTTGTAGGATATCATCCAGTGGAAATGGAGTCCGGATGTCCCCCTTCACCGCAAGTTCGACAACGGCTCGCCAATGGATCTTACTCGAGGTCATGAGAATGCATGTACTCCCCTGTGATTAAATTCTCAAATCAAACGAAGTTTATAACGAAAAAGAAATACTTCTTGATGTCCTTAGGCTACTGTGCTGCGTGCAGAGTATACCCGGCCGTACCAGCCGACATTACGGTCGTATCAAGCCCAAATATTGCCCATTTCCGCTCTTCCTCGCACTTTTGCTTCACTCAGATTTAGCCTATATTACACTGTTCAGAACCCTCAACGAGCGCCATATCAATCCTATGGATAGGTTTAGTCAACACAGGCGGGGAAGAGGATTCGGGAGCGGATTCGGGAGCGGATTTGGGCGGGGCAATCCAGGGCAAGGCAACAGGGAAAGAAACGAGGCCAGCCTCAGGCCATGTCATTATTTTTCAAAGAATGGCTATTGTAAGTTTGGCTTATCATGCAAGTTCTTCCATGGTCCGTCAATCGTAGATAGAGATAGGAGACAGAATCATGGAGGACGACCGCCCGGATCTAAGGAGACACCCGAGCAACAACAGGCCAGAGTGGACTACAATGCGTGGCGCCGATTCATCAAGGTATCACCTACTAGAACTGACGAGAGAACAATGGAACAGCTTTGGAGTGATGGTCTTGCCATCTTGAATGGCGACAATCTAGAATGGCAGCAAATGTTGCCACGCGATCTGGACAGCGACGACTATCAAGGCAGGGAACATATTAAGGATGTACTAGAGCTGCGATCAAGCCCAGGAGAAGAGCACAACTTCGTTCGCATTGCGCGTTCGTTTCTCTCCGTCATCACTCATCGGGCTCTCCTAGACTGCCTCTCGGTTGATACCGCTGTTGGAGCGCTTTATAATTTCGTGAGTGGCGCGAATGGGAACCGTGCGATTGCATTCTTCCAGCATCTTTCCCAAACGCTAGAAGAGTCTTATTTAAAATCCGCCGACTCTATCGCAACGATCCAGACTATTCTACAGACCATGCTGGTAGCACTTCGAGAGCTCCTTGGGAGAGAGCCTCGCGCTAGATTGAACGAAAACATTACATCTTTACTAGATCAAATGGAAGAGACTACCAAGTTAATCGCTAGAGATACACGCGATTTGATCATGCCAATCACCCTAGGTCAGATCAATGAAATCCGCGCTATTGTTGCACGAGCAAACGGACTTCTTGCACAAGATGATACTAGACAGATGAAAACTATCACCAAGTCAGCATATCCCCGCAACCTGGTAATGCCACAAGATCGCCATGATAACGACAAGCCTGATATTGCTAATGTCAAGATCTTTCCGACTTCTGAGGAAATTATGAGCGATGCGATTGACTTTTTACCCTCCACCGATCTCGACCAACCTCACTTCCTTCAAGACAAAGTTGAAAGACATATCGATACATGCTTTCGTCTTCTTCGTCATGACACATTTGGAGAATTGAAATCGGCTTTAGGGTCATTCTTGCATACCGTACAAGGCGATCCGGCTTGTATTAACCATCCAAAGCTTAGTCTCGGGGATATTCGAGCTTTCCACTACTTGCATGCGTTCATTAGCTATATCTCATTTGATCGTCGGCATGGTCTCGAAATGAATATAACATTCAGACAAATCCCGCAGCTACGCCAGAAATCAGCGAAAGAGAGACAAAAATGGTGGCAAGACTCAAAAAGACTTGGCGAGGGTGTTCTTCTCTCATTAATCGCAGTTCAAGACGATCAAGTTCAGCACTTATTCTTCACGGTTAGTAGAAGAGATACGGACACGGGACACGATGGGAGCCTTACAAAGGAAAATGCTCAATGCACCATTACTTTAAAGCTGGTGGCCACCGATCAGACACAAGTAGCTTTGGCCGTTTCCTTGAGCTGCCAAAAGACACAGGGGATCCTTCTAGAGTTTCCTGGTACCATTCCCGCTACGTTTGTACCGATTCTCGAGAACCTAAAGAGAATGCAAAAGTTTAGCAGGCTACCTTTCAAAGACTGCATTCTCCCTGACCAAATTGACGACACCCGGAATCGAAAAGGCGGCAGCACTCTTGACATACTAGCCCCACTTTACGCTCGTCATCCTGGATTTGCTTTCAACTTGAAGTCCATTCTCAAGATAGATGCGGTGGGAAACGATGACATCTACGTGCTACCAACATCTTCTCCTAATGACGCAGCTATCATTGACACAGTTGAAGCTCGCACCGCACTAGATCGCGGCCAGAGTCAAGCCTTGATATCAGCGTTGACGCGAGAATTTGCATTCATCCAAGGCCCGCCTGGTACTGGAAAGTCGTATCTTGGTATTGAGTTGATGAAGGTTTTGATGGACTGTAAATCAAGAGTAGAGTTGGGGCCTATCATTGTGGTGTAAGTTGGGGTCTCAAATCTCAAGTGCTTGGCTAACGATAGACAAGGTGCTACACAAATCATGCGCTCGATCAGTTTCTTGAGCATTTAATTGACATCGGAGTCAAAAAGACCATTCGTATCGGAGGTCAGAGCCATTCCACTGTTCTGGAAGAGCACAACCTTCGAAAGATTTCCCAAAGCGAAGGCAAAACAAGATCGGAAGGTTTCCTCCTTCACAAGTCATACGAGCGTTTAGAGCAAGAGTGTGAGAGAATTAAGAAGAGCCTAGGGCGCCTTCATGGCACTTTTAGACATGCCAACTGGTCGAATTTGCAATATCACCTCATGTACAGGTACTCAACGATTCATGACCAATTTAGTCGATTTGACGAAGACGGTTTTGAGCGGGTTGGTAAGCCTCTTTTTGATGCCTGGATTCCTCCTACTAGCAATGATCGCCCAGTCACGGAAAATGGCAAGACGGAACCGGCGGCCACCTTGATCAACCACATTTTAGACAAGGCAGCAGCCAATGTCCATTCCTTGGCACAGGAGGAGAGGCAAATGCTGATGCGCTTTTGGTGTCAAGAGATCCATGATACTGCTCTCGATGATCTTTATGAAAGGTTGAAAATGACAGAGTCCGCGCAAAAGCAACTTGCCGACATCCATGACGAAGTTGATCGGCGAGTGCTTCAAGCTGCGGACGTCATTGGAATTACGACAATAGGACTAGCGAAAAGGATTTCCACGCTGCAGCGTGTGCGATGCAAGATTGTGATCTGTGAGGAAGCTGGAGAAGTCATGGAACCGCACATGATATCTGCGTTGCTTCCGACGGTAAGTCGCTCCCAGAAACAGCACTGTGGCAGTGTAAGCGTACTAACGACAACATTTATAGGTTGAGCATCTGATCCAGATCGGAGACCATGAACAACTTCGTCCGCAGATAAACAACTATGGTCTTTCGCTCGAAAGCAAGCAGGGTGAGTTGTACCAATTAGATCGAAGCCAGTTTGAAAGGCTGTCCGTTGGGCAACCTGGGCGACCTCGGATCCCTGTAGCTCAGCTAAACGTACAGCGACGTATGCGTCCTGAGATATCGAAGTTGATACGGGAAACCATCTATCCTAGTTTGATCAATCACGACACAACCATCGACCTTCCAGACGTCGTTGGAATGCAGAAGAATGTATACTGGCTGGATCATGACCATTTGGAAGAGGGAAAAAACTCCGACATGCACCAAAAGTCTCATTCTAATATTTGGGAGGTGGAAATGGTGCACGGATTGATCCGCCACATTGTTCGACAGGGTGTCTACAGAAGCAGCGATATCGCTGTCTTGACACCTTACACTGGACAGTTACAGAAGCTTCGCTCAGTGATGAGAAACGACTTTGAGATCGTGCTTAGCGACCGAGATCAAGAGGCACTTGATAAGGACGGATTTACCGAAGGCGACGCAAGTCTTCAACAAGGAGCTGCCGGGCAGCAGTCGTCCTCCTCCAACGCCGTTTTGGAAAAGAAGAAGCTCAGTGATCTCTTACGGATTGCAACTGTGGACAACTTCCAAGGTGAGGAGGCCAAGGTGATCATTGTCTCTCTTGTCCGGAGCAATAAAGAAAAGAAAGTCGGATTCCTCAGGACGACAAATCGAATCAATGTTCTTCTCAGTCGAGCCCAGCACGGACTGTACCTGATTGGTAACTCTGATACATATTCAAACGTTGAAATGTGGCAGAAAGTTATCAACATGCTTCGATTAGCTGACGCAGTCGGAACAACTTTGGGGCTTAGCTGCCCGCGCCATATTGAAACCGAGATCATAGTCCACGAGCCTCATGACTTTCCCAAAGTCAGTCCAGAAGGAGGATGTCGTCTTGCATGTCTCTGGCGCTTGCCTGGATGTGGCCATATGTGCCAGTCTAGATGTCATTCGGAAAGTATGCACAGTGCATTCTTGTGCGCACAGCCTTGTCAAAGGCTACTTGAACCATGCGGACATGCTTGCCAGAAGCCGACGTGCGGAGAGAATTGCGGAAGATGTCACATCAAGCTGAATAATGTGCCGCTTCCTTGCGGGCATTTCAAAGATAATGTACTCTGCTTCCAAGCACAGAATCCTGGTCTACTCTGCTGCTCCATTCTGGTTGAGAAGCTTGTCCCATCCTGCGGACATACCGTAAAAGTGACCTGCTCAATCGACGTGGCGTCGGAAAGATATCGTTGCTCAAACCCATGCGCCTCAACATTACCCTGCGGCCACAACTGTCCGGGATCGTGTGGTAGCTGTAATGCCAAGGGCGTTGAAGGCAAAGTGTCGACGTCACACCAGAAATGCACCAAATTGTGTAGCCGTCGATTTGGCACCTGTAATCATTCCTGTCAAAAGGCTTGTCATGGAAAAGACTGCGGTCCTTGTCTCTCTCCCTGCGAAGTCCGCTGCCAGCATTCGAAATGCACCCTGCGCTGCCACGAACCATGTGCGCCATGCATTGAAAGATGCACATGGGAGTGCCAACATCGTGGACGGTGCACCATGTAAGTTTTATGTCTCTGCGAGCTTGTTATCTTCGATCAACTGAGCTGATGCTGACCTTTTTCTTTCTTCTCAGGCCGTGCTCTGCACCTTGTAACAGACTGCCCTGTGATCAGCGTTGCTCGAAGAGTCTTCCTTGTGGCCATCAGTGTCCAGGTATATGTGGTGAAGCATGCCCAACCGACTACTGTCACGCCTGTGGCTCCAAGCCAGATGCCAGAGTTGATCTTCTGGAAATGAAAAGCTACAGCGAAATCAAGATCGACGAGACTCCAATCGTGGTTCTCGGATGTGGGCATTTTTTCACAGCAGAGTCGCTGGATGGTCTTGTGGGTATGAGCGAAGTTTATACTACCGATGTGTTTGGAGACTTCACTGGCCTAGCAGATATCAGCGGCTCTTTAGCGATGAAAGTACCCAAGTGCCCAGACTGCCAACAGCCAATCATGCAATACATAACTCAGCGATACAACCGAGTCATCAACAGAGCGGTGATTGATGAAATGTCAAAAAGATTCTTGGTTAATGGTAAGACTGAGCTCCAAGAGCTGGAAACGAACGTTGAGGATCTTGAGTCAGGCCTCGTGGAGTCGAGGGAAAACATTAAGGACTCTGTAGAAAACTTGACGTCAAAGATTCGAACCCGATATCATGAATCCAAGAAGCTACAAAGTAAGCTTGAAGATTTCCTCCGGAACGTTGCAGATCGACATCAGCCGGCTCATAAACTCCACGAGGCCGTTGTCCAGGCTAGTAGGAGCAACAGTACAGACGATCCTGCATCTATTGCTGATGCATTTGGTTCACTGAGTATCCACCGAAACAGCATTGGCCCCGTCGAGCGAGACCGCAGAGTCACCTTTGGGGGTCGCGTTCTGCAGATGAAGGCGGAGTCCATCATACTAGAAGACAAGTTCCAGATCATAAAGAAGCTTCGATCCGGTCCATCCAACGAAGACGCGAAACTCTCCGGCGGAAATCCACAAGATCTTACGAAATCTTTCATGAAAGCTTGCGCATTACTAATAAAGGACTGCGAGATCGAGAAGCTTCCTAAACTCGCAGTAGAAGCTTCAATCCACTTCGCCACAAACGCACAACTCTACCGCTCATCTCAATTGTCCGGTGAAGATAGAAAGAAGGCTACCGAGTACGTAGAAGAGGCGAAGGATTTGCTGAAGCAAGCGCATGAACTATGCGAGCAACCCTTTCATAATGCAAATCAACTGAAAACTTGCGTCGAGGAAAACATCCAGATTCTTGGAAGGGAGTGGTACGAAGAAGTGACTGCCAAAGAAGTTGCCGAAATCAAGAAGGCCATGGTAAGTGGTAGAGGAGGCATCGCAACACACTCGGGTCACTGGTACAATTGCGCAAACGGACATCCTGTAAGCATCACAGTTAGCAAATACACAGTGTAGAGGCTAACACCCCAGTTAGTTTGCTATCGGTGAATGCGGAATGCCGATGCAACTTGCGCGCTGTCCGGAATGCGGCGCGGCTGTTGGAGGATCAAGTCATCAGGCTGTCGAAGGTGTTACCAGAGCCGCACAAATGGAAGAATAAGAGTATATATGGTGGATAAAGCATCTGTGACAATTGAAGAGACTCGGATCCGGACCAATGGCGCGGATTCGGGCCAGAGTCAGGTGTTGGCTCAGCTAGGGAGTGGTAGAATAGACTTCATCTGTCCTCAACACGTATTGCCGACTCACAATTGTTACATTGCCACTAACGACAAGAACCGTGGTCGCCACACTCGTTCGGCCCAATCCATTAGCCAATGCAAGACTGCTACTACCTTCATTGCATCGAAGCAAGACCTCGAGCTCCCGATAGTAATCTGCTCCCACACGGTCATCTTCTGGTTATTCTTAGAGACGATTAATAAGTGCCAATCATGACCCTGCGCAACAAGAAGCGGGAGAGCAGGCCAGGGTCCAACCGTAGTGCCCTGAATGAGAGAAAGACGTTTCAGTAGAGCATCCGTCCATATTGCAATCTGTGGTTTACCGTCAGTCCATGATTTCATGGGACTCTTAGCGTCCACATGGATTGCGATGGGATTGCGACGCGCTCGAGTTGTGTGATTCCAAGACTTGATGGACAAGCCGGGGAGTGGACGAAGGCGGGTCCAGGCCTGGTTTATGGTCGAGTCGGGCTTGAAAGTGACAACGTAATCAATAGCCCGCCCAGGGAGAATAGACCTGGCGAGCGATCCGGGTTCAATTTTGGCCGTTTTTCTACTGACGATCAGTATACGATTCCGGCTGTAGAGAGTGCGAACCAACACATTAACAATCTCAAGGGTCCGCGAGTGCTTGCATGTGTCACAGGCAAGTTTGAGTAGTGGGTGCTGGACCTCAGAATTCCACCAATCCTCAGAAGCACCTGGTCCACGATCATGTTGTCGTGCTTTCTCTACAATACCCAGTATTTGCGGTGGGGTAGGCATGGTGCCAATCTTACAGCGCTGCTCCAGGTCGGTCGCCCATGAGTATTGGTAACGCATCCTTTCCACGGCCGGCAAAGCAGACAGTTCATCCATGCTATCGTACCCCAGTATCCCAATGCCGTCGGCGAATCGTTGAATTGGTGTGCGCATCAGCGTGACATCTTCCGGCTCCGGCCCATCCCCATCCAGATCGTCATCGAAGTTACGGAAAACGACCGGGTTTTCTTCATCCTCGAGTATTTGAATCTGTTTTACGGGGCTAAACGTCCACTTTGCCGTGAATGGACGTCATAGGCGTCGGAACTTGCCTCGCTCGAGGGAGTAGGTGGCCTTGAATGTCAACAGGAGTCAGCGATTCTTCACGAATTGACAGCAGATCGCATACAATTCTTGAAGCGACTGGATCTCATCAATCCAGACCTCGATGCTACGGTTCATGAAGCCGATGGCGGTGCTGGGAAAGGCATCTTGACGACAGAACACGGTCTGTTTGTTGTTCGTTGTTGTGAGGACTTTGGCGACCGTGATAGCCGAGAATTGCCCGCCGGCGACTAGATTAGATCTAGACTAATTAGCGACAGAGGCGAGGAAGATGCGACAGACGACGTACATAAGAGAGTAACAGATTCACTCGGAGAGGTATAGTCTGATAGCTCGCGCAGCCTGGCCCTCTTGTGCAGCGCCTATCCTCTCCAGCATGATTTCCTCGTCAACCTTAGAGTCTTCACGCCTGGTGTTCTTCAATCCACTCTGCACACCTCCAGCTCCTCATCACCGTGTTGCTCCGCATTGCCCATATACTTTGCCAATTCCAAGACATGGCTGGACATCACCTTCCTCTGCAGATCCTTGACGCAAATAAGGTACGAAGGATATGCGTAGTAGATCCAGCCATGACCGTCGGGGCAGGAGAAGGAAGACGGAGTCCATTTCAGGTTGGCCATTGACTTCAAGCCTTTGGGAATGGACAGGAGTTTGGTTTTGGTGCCGGCGGTGTTGGCCGGTGCTGCAGGTGACAAGACGCGTCGCTTTGATGCTGAGGTCCCCTCGCTTGACACGTCGCTTGACCGTATCTTGCGCCCCGGTATACGCTGCCTGTCCTGCTCTTGCTGTCGTGGCTCCTGGTCTTCATCGCCCAGCTGGCCAGTTAGCTTATCTAGGTGCTTCGTCCACTGTGGCCTGTTCGCTTTCACCTGTGGAGGATCTGTCTCGTGCGTGTCCTGCGTGTCCTGCGTGTCCTGCGTGTCCTGCGTGTCCTGCGTGT